TAACTGCTGATAGTGTCCATAACGCTAACGCTAGGCTCCGTCGCATCAATCAGGCAGGGTATTCGTGTCTAGTAGGTGAAAATATCTCAGAGGCGGTTTTTTTTTTAGCAAAATCCGCAATTTCGACTCATTTTTGAAAAACGATTCCGTCATTCAAGATTAATGTAAGCTAGAGCTGATCTCAGGATTGAATTGACCTTTCAGCAAAATAATTTGGGTTCGGCCTATGATGACATCATTACAGGCCTCACATAGCATTATTTTCAAATACAGATGCTCACCGTGATCTGATGAGTCAGAGGCAGTATTACCTGTTGGGAACATAGCATCGACTGCTGCTTCCCGGAGTTAGCTTCACACTTCAGATTTGGCTAGAAATTGCTTCACAGAGATAGTTTGACCCCAGCCAAAAATGTTTGTGTCGAACTACGGGTGTCAAGGCAGTCAAGAGCAAATACTGCTCAAACATGTTAATAATTATGTGCAAAGTCATGCAGGGCATAAGTGTGAACTGTAATAGTGTTGACCTCATCACCTCCGCTCCAAATTTGTCGCTGCCGATTGCGCCACTTCTCCACAACTGGTGTACATCTCGACTGCCTTATGTGCAAGGCAGCACGAGAGAAAACCTACATACGTGTTTCTGTTCAGAGGATCGTTTCGCAGATTTGAACGACAGATTTGAGTTCAGCGTTCCAAGGCGCATACAGGAGTACATCTGAAGTTGAATGGTCATGGTGACCTGAGGGCCTTTCCTTGTGGGTTGTCAGCTAACCATAAGATCACTCTTTTGAAATGTGCCATTTATGCTAAGAAACGTCTCTAAAGGGAAATATCTGCATGTTGGGGCAGGTCGCTGAAAACAACCGTGATTTTTTTAGTTAGCACGAGATCATTATTTTTTGCTACGTGTGGCAGAACGCTTAATGACGACTTCGGTTGGGCCGCGTACTTTGCTGAAGCTAAAAAATTGCAGTTCACACCCGCATACATGGGGACATTTTCGCATCGTCCTCTGTCGCTGAGTACAGATCAGATTGAGATAGTGCACTTACGATTTGGACTTCGAGTTCAGCCAGTCCAAGACGGGAGGATCTAGGTTTTCAACAGTGGCTTTGCCCGCGTGTTGCTGTTGCTATCGAGAGCGTAAATCTTGGACGTTGGCGGCAGGGTGGATATCGGTCGAGAAAATCCTCGACAGGGGATAGCACTTGTCAGGCTGGGTCGTGGGGGATCACACTTGAGGGTCAGAAACATGCTTTGCGCATGCTCCGTTTTAGAGGGGACGTGCCAAGACCTTCGATTTCATGGGTGGGGGGGGGGGGTGGCACATCTGTGACCGCGTCCTCGACGCGATTTTCACCCTTGTTGGCGATGACTACCTTAGGCAGAGGATTTTTTGGGTGGGCGGGGGGTCCTACCAGCTAGACTTGGTCATCAAAAAATTACTGGCAGTTCACTGAAGTTACTATATTACCGTGAAATTTGAGTTATTGAACTAGTTGCATATTAAAGTGACTTCATAGTATCTTATTCTTTTAACTCCATTATTCTTTTTGTTTTATTCTCTTTTCAACTTCGATTTCAAGGTGTTACGCGATTTGGTGACGGAGAAGTTGCCTCGTTTTGCTGCCCATTTACGACAGTTATAGAAGTGAGTTATTACGTTGTTCGCGCTGAGCTGGTTCCTGACATGTTTCGTTGATGTGATGCCTCATCAGATCTACCTACCAATTTTTGACGTTTTCCTTTATGAAGGAAATAAGGTGATTTCCTTTTCGAACTTGTTTCGCGTGGTAATACTCTTGAAGCTCCCTAGCACTTCTGATATTTTTCTTTTCCTTTCTCAAGTTTATTAAGTCTTATATTTTCAGTTTTGGTGTTACAATAATATGCAGCGAGCGGTGGGGGTTATGAGAAAAAATCGTTCTCTCTTTCCATTCAAATAACAATTCACCTACCTGTTCGCTGAATCAAACAGAAGCTCCCAGCTAGAAAGTAGAGCTGTTTACGATCTATTGAGAAGCTTCATAATTGCCTTCCACACGACGACAGAAGAACTTAAAGCGAGGGATTACGATAAGTTTGGACTGGGTTCATAGTGGAAGTGGAGATGCTGAATAATGCCCCAGTGGCGAAAAAAGCAAAGAAATCCGTCAAGAAGGCGCAAAATGGGACCCCTTTCTTTGCCCGTTGACCTCCGATAATGGACGAGCTAGCAACCAATTAGGAGGTCGTTTGCACATGTTATGCTGATAGCCTCTATCATTTCAGCAAGCATCATGCTTTGATTGATCACGCATCCCATGAAAAGTTATAGGATACACTCTGGAAGTGGAATATCTCGTCACATTGGCAATCGAAGGGCGCTGCTGCTGGGGGCGGAGCACAGACCGTGGCGGGGCTCAGAAAGGAATGGCAAGCCTTGTACGCTGCAACTAGCGCACCTTTGACCACAAAAACGCAACATTTCGTTTCCTTGGGCCCCTGACTACTGCTTCCAATGGTGCATGTACTTCCACGCTGCATACGCACTTTATCGTAATCTCTCGCTTTAAACACAAGGGTAGATGGGCGCGGGGATGTACAGTAGACTCGACGGTACTAGGACCATTACGACGATTACTTTTGAAAAACGCTAGTCGAGGCCGTTTCTAGCAATAGTCAGAGACTATATCTGGGAAGCTATCAGCAGTAAACCGATTGAAAGAATTGGGTAGCTGCTTCAGGCTGGAACAATTATTGTTGACTGTCATGAACTTGACGGCGATGGTGGATGTCTTCATATTTTGAAGATAGTGAGGGTGATCAGCAAGGACATGCTTTGCGATTGGGGGATGTTGCCATACCTCCATCAACGGCGTCCCAGATTGCGACGAAAGCATTTGGATGAGTGTGGCCTATGGACCTATCCCCTGTGTGCCTTGGACAAAGTAGTTTTTGCGTACTGAGTACCAATGCTTGAGGGTGGCAATCCTGATGGTCTTACGTTTGTCCTTTACGGAGGACTTCCTAGCTTGTTTGTCCATTACGGTGGACGTCCTAGCTTGACCCATTACGGTGGGTGACCTAGCATTGATCGGGATACTTGAAAATCCATTGATCATAATTGTACATCGGTTAGATTTGTTTGGTCGTCCTGAGCGAAGTTCTGACTCTTCCATCCTTTGAAGGGGGAGTGGACATTTTCGCGTAGGCCTATGGGCGGAGGAGGTCTAGGGTGGGTGACCAGGTGCAGAAAGTTGGATAAGATGTGGGCCGGGTGTATGAGATGAAGGACACTAACCGACGCTTACCAAAAGTACTCAAAAAAAGCCTACCAAAATGAGCGGTATCGTCATATTACATTATTGTGAGAGTCTGGAAAGTGATGATAAGATAATAAAAATTTGCCAATCCCTAAACTCCTTTTTCACTCATACGCACTTTTGAAGTCCATTGAAGGAATGGATCTTTATCAGTCTATGTTTGAAATTGAAACGTTCGTACTATGTTAACGCACTTGGGTGATTTCTAAATTTATTCTAACCCAAATTCCGTTCATATTTCAGTCTTTGTTTCGGTTTGCCCTGGCAATATTGAAGATGTGTGAGTCAGCTGTGCTGCAAAGTAAGACTGTCAGTATGGTGCATGCCTGTTTAAGTAGGCCACGGCAATTTGTCACCGATTACAAGTCATTAGCACAAGTATGTGATTTAGCTCAATTTTAGTGGAAATGATTCCTGGGTTCGTTGATCTTCCTTGTTTCCATAGGTTGCCTTCAACGACATGAACCCGTTCCCTCAAAAACAAATTGAGACAAAGAGAGCGCTATACTTGACCCAGTTACAGGTAAAAGCGTTTTATTGCAGGCTTATTCTTTTGAGCAAGTCGTGTTCTTTTCATGTTATTCCAGGCGAAACATTCATAATTTGGCGGTTCCTAATGCGGCCGCTGGACTATTTCTGTGAAGAAGCTTCCTGTGATGTGATGGCTATACATTCTACCATTTGTTATTTTATTATACAGTGCTTTTGATAGAAGAGCTTTCTTGTGATGTCAAGTGCTCACTTAGGTCTGAATAATATTGTTAGCAAACACTGTTGGAGGTTGCGCTCAGTAGGGCTAACACTACCATGCTACTTTTTCTCCCAATATTTCTTTGCAGTAAAATGATGTGCTAAATCGAGCAAACTTGGGCAACTCACATTCCCTCCCCTGACA